AATATTAAACCCTAAACCCTAATACTGAACCTTGGGGGTAAACAAACCCTAGATGTAAACCCTAAATAATAAACTCAGAATAGATAGACAAATCATCAACGATGACCCAGAGCTAGAAGCTGAGGCGGACCAGTAAACCCTAAACCCTAAACCCTAAACCCTAATACTAAACCCTAAACCCTAATATTAAACCCTAATAGTAATGGTAAACCCTAGGGGTAAACAAACCCTAGATGTAAACCCTAAATAAGAAACTCAGAATCGATAGACAAATCATACAAGATGACCCAGAGCTAGAGGCTGAGGCTGACCTGTAAACCCTAAACCCTAATATTAAACCCTAAACCCTAATATCAAACCCTAAACCCTAATCTTAAACAAACCCTAATCGTAAACCCTAAACCCGATTCCTGAGCCTTAAACCCTAATCATAAACAACCCCTAATCGTAAACCCTAATCCTAAACCCTAATCCCTAATCGTAAACCCTAAACCCTAAAACTAAATAAACCCTAATCATAAACCCTAGATACAAAAACCTCTACACAGCATCTTCTTTTAAGCAGCAGGGTATATAGATTTTTTCAGGGTTTAGGGTTTAGGGTTTAGGGTTTAGGGTTTGGGGTGTATATATTGCAGGTTATATGAGGAGAATATAAAGATAGTATCAGCAGCATCATCTTTGCATGCAGATACAATATTTGGGGCTTTGGATGGTTCAGCAACAGGAGAATCTATAAAACCCTTTTTACGTTTACCTTATCGAGGGTTTATAAGCTGGAGACAAACCCTCCGTTCTTTAATTAAATTTATTCGTTTTGTTTTGCCCTATCAAATAAAACAAAAAAAAGGAGGAAAAGGATACAATCTAAATGTACAACAAGCTCTATGTATTGCACAAACAGACCCGGAACCAGAAGCAAGAGAACAAGCTCTACTCGCCATAGACTCGTAAACCCTAAACCCTCATAAACCCTCATAAACCCTAAACCCTCAAAATGTCAAAAAAAAATTTTTTTTTTATATACCCTGCTCCTTGTGTTTATACCTTAGGGTTTACACTTATAAACCCTAATTTTATACGCTTAGCATGTGAAACACTAAACCCTAGTAAACCCTAGGTTTTTTACAGCTGCAAGAGAGATATATGAAGTTGGTGGTTTACTCGGGGAGAACAAACCCTAAACCCTAAACCCTAAACCCTTTTTTTTTTTTTCTGTTGCAGCATCATGCAGCAAAGGAAATTCAGAGAACAAGTCCTAAACGGAGTTCGTCTCATCCTTCAAGTCCGCGAAGCAGAAGAAAAAGAGATGGGATATGCGGTGAGGGTTTAGGGTTTAGGGTTTAGGGTTTAGAGGGATATGCAGTGAGGGTTTAGGGTTTAGGGTTTAGGGTATAGAAGGATGTACAGTGAGGGTTTAGGGTTTACAAGGATCACACCACGTTGCGTTCCGAGTAGAATTACATCCGTGTATTGACTGTTGAATATTTCAAGGGTTTAGGATTTTTTAGGGTTTAGGGTTTTTTAGGGTTTAGGGTTTTGGGGTGTATGTACACCAGGGTCTGCCAACGGA